CTTCCAATGTTGAACACAATCTACCCAAAACTGTTAAGTTCACCTCCATCTAGAATTGCAAGGATATTGCACACACTATTATTCACACACTATTATTCAATTTAAAGGTAAAATCATTCCCTACAGGCAAATTAAAAACCTATAACTATTAACAGAGGATCACTGAAAAAATATGAGGTTAGCAGTTCAATCATAGTTCAAGAGGTCACTAAACCGGAAATTCAATAGAGACAAACCCAAATACAGAGTTTGAGCATAAAGTATGAAAGGAGCGTATTCCCATGCCAGACAACTCCTTTGAACGGTTGAAGAACACTTCAACATGTTCTGCAGGGAAATTTTTTTATATTTTGACTTGGTGTTAATTTCAAAAGATGACCACAAGACTTCCATAGACAAATCTAACATATATTTGACAAGGCACTCAAGATCTATGAATAGAATTGCCAGAATCAAGTAAACTACAGACCACAAATTCCACCATGTGCAAACGAAAAAGAAAGAAACTCACATTCATAATTTTGCTTACACAACCACAAAATAAATTAATATGAATGTCATACACAAAACCACTTGGCTCTCATTAAACATCATTTCATACCTCTGAGCCGCTCTGTGAGGATCCATGACAAACAAGAATTATCCGATTACTGGTTTTTCTGCCTCCAGAACTTCCAGCTGCAATAGGTGAATTTGGGGTCTGCATCAATTACAACAAAAATTATGTTCTGCGCTCCAAGGCAACCTACACTACAGGGAAACTAAAGCCTATGCTAAGTGCTCACAGTAAATGGGTTCTTTACCCTAAAAATTTAGGCATTCAACATATACTAGACCACGACTCTGATGGACAAAATGCTTAATGATCAATACCAACCATTTTGTAGGTTAGAAAAACAAAAAAAAAAATTCAATGTCATAATGTCATTACAGATATTGTTGATTGATTTAAGCAAATTGGATACAGAATTTGCCGGTTCATGAAGGGAATAGACAACTCAATGTCATTACTGCATTGAAATTATAAAGATAATGTTGGATCACCCTTTAAGTAATATTGAAGAATGAATAGGGATACCTGATTTAAGCGATTAAGACATATATATGGAGACCCACCCTCTAGTCGTGGGGTGAAATCCAGCACAGTCACACCACAATTGCTCTGCAGTAAAATCCTGAAATACTCGGTGCCTAAGCCTGATAAATGGGAAGAAGCAACGAAGGAAAAGAGAAGAAACTACATTCACAATGACATATTAAAATTTCTGTCGGCAAGTCATAACAGAGAAAGTAGATAGTACCAATCGCTGTTGCAACGAGGGCCTGATTAACAGCATTGTGAGCAACCACAAGAACAGACCTGCTTTCGTGAGTTAAGATTTTGGTCCAGCAGCTTCTAGCACGATCCCACAACTCCCTCACTGGATAATGACCATCAATATTAAAATTTGCCGCATCAGTTTGCCACTGATGGAAAGCCGCACCAAACTTTGCTTTTCCCTCATGCTTTAGGAGACCCTAAAGTCAATAATGGAATCAGCAACCATTACTATACCATTTCTTTGGCATGTTACGTCTTAATATCATTAAAAAATCATTGAAGCATATAATATAACTGCACATCTGATGGAAGAGATGTTGAGAAATTAAGCTAACTTGAAAGAAGTACAGGTCAATTTCCCTTAGATCAGAATCAGTAATAATCTCCTCCTTGCGAGCACTCCAAATGATTTCAGCTGTTCTCTTCGACCTATTCAGTGGACTGAAACAAACAAACCCATATGGTCAATTGACTGTGAAGAATATGAAAGAATAAATTCTTGATTATCACTCAAGAATCAACTCAATATAAATTTGGGTGTCATATAAAGAATGGATTGAACCATTCTGTTGTATAGTATCAAAATTCAACAAAAAAAAAAAAAGTACGTAAAAAGTTAATGCATTACATATTTTATGGTCTTATATTTGAATGGGTAATGCTATACAAACTGACTTTTTATACAAAAAATTCATACAGAATGATATGTCTTAGGGAGCTTCTATTTCCACACACCACATTATATCAGTTCACACACTTAATTTCTGAATTTTTAGTTCAAAAGTCTGAACCAAAGATAGAGCTGAATCAAATAGTTTTCCACGTAAGTTGATTTCCGAACAAAAAAAAAATGAGTGCACTAAGAGGAAACCATGTGTGGAAATAGAAGCTGAGTGCTGCTAATACCAAAATTATCCTTAAGAAAATTTCACTCACTCAAATGCACACCCCCACACCCCTAAAAACCAAAGGCACCTTGTCTCTACCTTTCCCTTTCTTCAAACTCTGAATTGTACATAGGATAATCTCATATCGAGGTTGATGAGCTGATGGAGCAATTTTTAAATTATTATTACAGCAATTCATATCTATTAAGCGAAAGCACTAAAATAGAATACACTAAAATAAAATAGAATACCATAATTTCTGCCTTATGTCCCCTCAACAAAACCATCAAAGTTCTCCAATAGAGCTTCCTTGCCCCCTATGGGACCATTAATTCCATATCAAAGCCAGCCCTATTCTCCTACAACTTAAAAGGGATATCTCTCTCGTCTTGTGGGTTTTCGAAATACTATTGATTAATTGTCCCTCTTTTGTCTCTTGTTCTAGTTCATGGTTCCTCAAGCCAACCCCCAAAAATCTAAACACAAATATCAATATCAACTAACAATCAGCACATACAAAAATATCTGCAAAAGCAGATGCACAGTAGTCGGCCGGCCAAAAATGCAATTGACCAAAAAAAGATAGCCGGCCGGCCAAGAATTTGGCCGGTGGCAACAAAACACAACCGGTGGCCTCAAGCCATGGCCGGTGGAGTGTGGGGATGGCTCACAAGCCATTCCCTACCCCTCCAAGGCAAAACACAAGTGTTTGGTGCAAAACCGAACACAAGTGTTTGGTGCAAAACCAAACACAAAACAGTCGAGCCGAGAGATCCTAAGGCAAGGCACGTAGCCGAGACCTCCGGGAACTCAAGACGAACACAAACATGGATGATCACCGAGTGTTCAAACGGTGACGTCCAAATCTTGAGGACGGTCAAAAATGGGGTGTCTACAGTTGCCCCTCTTTGACAGAACTCGAAAGTCATAACAATGACGGAAGTGAATGTCAAAGTCCAGAGACGACCCATTTTTGACAAGGCCGAAGACTTAGACAAACATGCAAGACAATAAAGATATGCGCCCGAAGGCAGGGGCAAAATGCAAGACAATGCACAAAGCCGAACATAGCTTATGATCATGCAAAGGAAGCTGTAACGAAGCATAATAATGCAACAGTTTTAAGCTAGCATACACCAAACTACACTACAATGCAGAAAGGATGTAAGAGAATTATGCAATTCTCGATACGTCTTACTCGGAGAATACAGTACCTGTCCAGTTCGTCTGGTTGCACCAGCCTCAAATGAACCGTACATACAATATCGTTCCTGAAAAGAAAGCGAACTTAACAGGTACAATATTGTTAGCAACATGCATAACATGCAAAATGGATGTAAAATGATATGCGATATATACAAAACTACGTATAAACAATGCAAATGAAAATGCAATGTAATTGAAACAATGCAAACGATATGCAATGCAATTGAATCATGATCCAATCATGAGCGGTTAGGCATGGACACGAACAAGTCACGTCTAACATAGAACGGTCATACAGAACTATGAGTGTATAGACGGACCACGAGAACAAGTAATTGGGTGGAATGACATAAGTGGGGAAATGATCCGCTAACGAAAGAGCATGATCCTAATGCAGGATGCAAAAATTACACTACAATGTAATATGTATGGTGGATATGGCGTGCAGCCAAACCAAATCTTGCCTAGGAAAGGCATGGACACAAACAAACCACGCCTAACATAGAACGGTCATACAGAACTATGAGTGTATAGACGTGAAAAGTATAGGCACACACCAGACCAAGCTCAACAAGGAAAGGCGTAAACCCTAGATGGAGATGACGCAATGAATGCATGCAAGCTATAATGTAATATCTACAATATGCAATGGAATGGACACAGTGGGTTAAGGCCTACGGCCAAACCGTATCTTGCCTGAGAAAGGCATGGACACAAACAAACCACGTCTAACATAGAATGGTCATACAGAACTATGAGTGTATAGTCGTGAAAAGTATGGGCACATACCAGTCCAAGCTCAACAAGGAAAGGCGTAAACCCTAGATGGAGGTGATGCAATGAATGCATGCAAGCTATAATGCAATATCTACGATATGCAATGGAATGGAATAGTGGGATGCATGACATATGCAATATATTACAATGAAATGCATGACATATGCAATATATACAATGTAATGCATGGCATATGCACTATTTACGATGCAATGCATGACATATGCACTATATTACAATGAAATGCATGACATGTGCATGTTGTTTTTTGTTGTTTTTGTTTTGGTTTTGTTTAAAATGCAAATGATGCATGTTGATGCATGCTGATGTAAACACGTGACAATGCACGTCTTGTGATATGCATGACAATGCAAATGATCTTGAATGTGCGACCACGCGTGTCGCTCGAAATGCTTATGAACTCGAATGCGCGACGACGCGCATCGCTTGAAATGCATGATGATGCATGTGAACTTGAATTTGCGACGACGCGAGTCACTTGAAATACATGTACAATGCAACTTACCAAAAGTCGTTCGGGCACGACAAACACCGAAGGACTTGCACCTTCAGAAGATTTAAGGTCTCCTAGACCAAGCGTATTTAAGGTCTCGCCAGACCATTGAAAATGCATAACAATGCAAGCATAATGACGTATAACTCAACACATGTTCGCAAAACAATGCGTGTGGGGCAACTTTCGAATCTTAAAAGAGACAAAAGGATACAAAAAGGATACACCTTGCACATATTCGAGTGCCACGCACGGAAGACACGGTCCGAGGTCAAAACGGAGGCCGGTTGAGCTTCGAAAATGCCATTTCTTGCACTATCTTGAGCAATAAATACCTCAAACTATACATCTAACCCAAAAAAGGTTGTTGGAGGCTCACCGGCCATCAGGGGAGGTCACCGGCCATCCACCGGCCATCAAAACATATCACCGGCCAAATATTTGGCCGACCGGCCAAAAATGTAGCCGACCGGACAAATGTTGCTGAGTCGGGACAATTTGGTCTTTTTGCCTCGGGTCTTTTAAAATAGGGCTTCAAATCCTATTTTTCTCATTTCCTCTCAGCCGAAATTTCTCCCTCTCTCTCTTTAGAGTATTTCCCGAGCCTCCATTCTCCGTTTTCCTCAATTTTAGGGCCCATTTCGTTGTTTGATTCGCGAAGTTCATCGTGTTTCGAACACTTTCATCTGATCGAAACTTCGTTTCGGTGTAGTTTTTTCGATTTCCGCCTCTTGGGGTTTGTCTCCCCCAAGTTTTCCTTGATTTCATCACATTTTCCACATTTCGGCTTTTCCAGCCATTTTTCACCCTCCCGGGGTTGACTTTTTAGTTGACCTTTCGCATTCTCATCTGGTTTCCACTTTCCCGGTCATTTTCACACCACCTCTGACATGGCGGATGATATTCCACGGGGCGGGACTCCTCCGGATCACGAGGTGGACCTGGAGGCCGAGCTCCTCCCCTTGAGCATCCACCCGTTCGACCCGGCGACCTACCGGCCAGCGATTCACGTGCTTCCTCCCGACGGACTTCGCCAGTGCCGGGATTTTGCGAGAGGTGTGCCACCAGAGCTTCTTTTGCGTGAGCCCGAGACGCACTTTTCATACGGCGCTTCCGAAGGTATATTCTCCTCCGTTTCATTTTCTGCAATGTAGAACACTTAACTACCATAGTTGATTCTGCTTTTTAATTGCTTAGCCCGGATAAACCAATACACTATATGTTGTAGTTGACTATGAATACACTTGCACGTGCACACACACTACATTTGCCTTGAACCACTCAAACACACTGGTACATCACATGTTGTAGTTCACTGCGAGCATACCGGCACTCAGTACCTATTTGAATCTGAACACGTGCACACACGCTATATCTGTACTGAACCACTCAAACACACTGGCACATCACTTGTTGTAGTTTACTGTGAGCATATCGGCACTCGGTACCTATTTGAATCTGAACACGTGCACACACGCTATATCTGTACTGAACCACTCAAACACACTGACACATCATATGCTGTAGTTCCCTGCTAGCACACCGGCATCCGATGTTTGTTTGAACCTGAAAACGTGCACACACGCTATATTGCCACCAATTCTGAATACTCTTCAAAACTGTACATTTTATATTCTTCGCAACTATTTGCTTTTGAACAGGGAGATTCCCATACTGTCCACAGGTATGGGAATGTTGCCGCCAGGGATTGGTACGCTGAGCTACCCGACGCAGTTCGCCATATCGTGGATCA